TCGAGAATTGTACATACAAGATGATACCCCTTTTAATTTTTTCTAAATAGGATCATAATTTAAATGTATATTCGAATATGCAAATTTCAATATTTAGATGATGTATAATCGTTTAGGTACCGATTTTGGGCGTTGTGGGGGTGCTCATTCTTCCCCACGCGTAATCGACTCCGAACCCTTTTAAAATGAGTTTATGGTTAAACGCATATCACTTTTTATTTTTTAAAATTATTTTTCTTAAAATTATTTGAAGAATATTTTTAGATATTTGACCTACCTAATTTCAAGGTCGATGGCGACTCCAAATTTATTTATTTGTGCATTTATTTTAAAACCCAATATTTTCTAAAATTAAGTTGGATCGCTCCCCGTCATAGCCCAAAAAGCTTAAGGATCATTCCGACACAATCAACATGAGAAAACTATCCACAAACGCAAATCGCGTATCCAAATCCAGTTCGATGGTTTAATTCAAATCAATTGCAGTCTTAGTCGTTGAGTGTCATACAGACAAAGTTATTAAAAATTAAAAAAAAATACAAAAATACAATATAAATAATAATAATAATAATAATAATAATAATAATAATAATAATAATAATAATAATAATAATAATAATAATAATAATAATACCAACATTCATGGACTAAGACTACAATTGATATCACCATCGGTTACAAAAATAAAAATGACATACTAACGACGGCACAAAAGAAAAAAATACTCTTTCAACTATAATAAAATTTTCAAATCTAGAAAAATAATTGCAAGTTACCGTAGCTAAAAGTAATTATAGATATTGATGTGTTCTACTCTATTAATCTCTCGAAATTAATGTTCTAAATCTTTATTTATTTCGCCAATAGATAAAACAAAAGTGTTTAATCTCTATCTTTTTAGGATATGTGGAGTGTCGATGATTAAAAAAGACTCTGATATATTATTTTATAATTATTTAATACTATTTAAAATAATTATCATATGAGCTAAAACAAATGATAATCAAATAAAATACTACTAAAATTAAATAAAATTTGATTCGATTTCAGCGTTAATGTCTAAAAGTCAAATTTCAATTTTTATATATCGACTTTTGCATGTGGTGTAAAGCAAAGGTTGAAAAGAGAAAGGGTGTTATTTCCCCAGAGCTACAAGTTATTCGCAATCTTTACAAGCTGGAAAAGCATATCCAAATTCCCAACCAGACATAAGCTACATGACAAAGTTAAGGACAATGAGGTCCCAAAAAAAACAAATAAATTTAGGACATCACACATGGGTTGGACTTGGCATCAAAGGGTCTTTTTCATTACCACTTTGATGGGTCCATCCTCAACTAACAAGTGCTCCATTCTCATAAACACTTGCTTTTCACCATACAATTTTTAAGTTTGGGATTCATGACAAAACTATAAAGTTCCTTTGATTTTAATCCTATAATGACAAAACTATCGGTATCTAATTCACTAGTAGATTAATCCAGATAGAATTTTACAAAGATCTTTTCTCTATGCATATCGTCAAGATTCAAACTTTCGATTTTGGTTAAAAAATATAATATCTCATCTTTCTAGATCAACTTATGGACACCTTCATTGTTCTTCATCAAGAAAAAAAATGTTATTCTTGATTAGAACCTGACAACTACCATTTGTGGATTATTCTATATAACTAAAAGTGAATAAACTTACTAACCAAAGTTTGTAGTGGTAAATTAACAATTAATTGGTTTAACGGAATAATACACTAGATTCTTTAAGTAATATCAAAGATTCGAATCTTGATATTACGAATATAGCAAATTGAATTAGAAAAATTATCCTAATAATGAATCTTTATGATGCAAGTTAATCGCATCACACCTCCTTCATTCTAAATCGATCCCCAAACTTTTTGAACATTTCAGTTTCATCCCTAAACTAGTATCTTCATTTTATATTGGCCCCTAAACTTTTTGAACATTTCAATTTCATCCCAAATTATATGTATATACTAATCACATCCATTGTTAATGAAATTCTTAGACCAAGTTATATTATTAGTTGTTTGAAAAAAAAAATTAGGTTAAAATATTGTTGAAATTGACTACATATCTAAATGAATTTGGGGATGAAATTAGAAGATCCAAAGTTTATGGACCAATTTAGAATGAAAGTCATAGTTTAGGAATGAAACTAGAAGATTCAAAAGTTTAGGGACCAATTTAGAATGAGATTCATAGTTTGGGGATGAAATTGCAATGTTTAAAAGTTTAAGGACTAATTTAGAATGATAGTCATAGTTTGGGGATGAAATTGAAATGTTTAAAAGTTTAAAGACTAATTTGAAATAAGAGTCATAGTTTAGAAACATGTGCTGCAATTAACTATTATGATGCCCGATTTAAATTAATTAATCTATAAATAAGATATTAATGTGATTAAAAACTTTCTAGTGGTCAAATATCAAGTTTATGGTCAATTTTGATCTCCTTTGTATATATATATATACAAAAGTTTTTGAAAAAGATAGAGTTTATCTAATCCACCTAAAATTGTCTTAGAAAACTACACGTAAAAACCGGATTATGTTATCCTTTTCCTTATCTAATTGTTAATTAGGGACCTTAAGTGCTGTAATTAAACAAAATGGGCGGCTGGGGATTGCTTACGGCAGCAATAGATTTTGGACATATTTTGTATATTCTTATGGTCAAATTCAATCTTTAGTCGGCCGTCTTCTAGTAAGTGTAACTTTTGTCTCAAAATTTGAAGTCCTATACTTTAAAAAATTTGTTAATACAGAAAAATTATTTTTCTACTGCACTCACATGTGAAGAAAGCTTAATTTCATATGTTTAGATTTTTTTTTTATTTTGTAAGAATCAATCGTAATATGATAAATTTTGATATTTTACAATTTTATTTTATTATAAAGTATTTTAGGGGTCTTATTTTAAAAAGTAACACAAGATCTTTATATCTTCTTAGATGGGCATGTCTTTAGTTCGTGTACTATGTATACGTTATGAATTTAGCCTTTACACTCTAATTTGACCTATAATAATATATTTACTTTTCGAGTTTTGAAATTTCAGTCCTAACTCAAATAGTATAAGTACAATATGATTAAAGTTCATGTGTTTAAATTGATCGATTCAGATACAATAATTAGGTATGCAACTTAGGCATAATATAAGGACTAATAGAATAATTCGATTTGAACAAATTTTATGAGTACTATTTGGATTAGAACTGAAATTTTAAAATTTGAAAAATACATAGACTAAAAATGATCAATTAGAGTATATTGACTAAATCCAAAAATTATATATAGGACAAGGACTAATAAAAGAAATTGACCAACAAAATGAAGGCTGGCTGAAGGTAATAACTTTTTTAAACCCTTTGAGATCAAATCTTTGCTTTTTACCTTGGATTAGGAAAATGATAGGTCCATGATTAAGAAATCAAAACAAGTTGCTTCAACCATACATATTAAATCACTTTATTTGCATTTCAACTTTCCCATCACTATATTTTAAAAGAAAAAGAAAGGTTCCTAGGGTTTGGTTATTTATATGGTTAGTGTTGTACGGACTATATAATTACAAATGTAAATAGAAAAGTAAATTAAAAATCATATATAATATCTATTTATAACAGAGTTTAAATATTAGATAATATTAAAGGTTTTGTCTATTATTTTGTGATCGGCAACCATATTAATTTTGTGTTGGTCGTCGGTATTTATTGTTTTTCCTTTGCTTTTATAGTGTATATTTTTTTCTTATTTTTTATTTTAATAAATATGCCTTTGTTCTTTGTCTTTATCATGTTGATCTTCCATGTTTTGGATCCTTGGATTGAATTTGGATACGCGATTTGTGTTCGTACATAGTATTTTCACATCGCTCGATTTTAATTTGCAGTTTGTTGGTGGTCTTTCAATAGTTTCATCTCCTTTTATGATTTGTTTGTTGATGAGGTCAGATATGTTTGTATCTACCTTTTATTCGAGTTTGTTTAATTAGATTTTTAACCTTTTTCCTTGATCCTTGTGTGATCTTAAGTGGTTAGTTTCTTGTGTTTAGAAAATATCTTTATTGTAGAACCTTGGTCCTTGGACCCTTTGTTTGAGTTTATTTTGTTAGTTTTCCTTAGTCTTTGGTTGTAAACTTTTATTGTAATTTAGATATTTTTAATTTTTAATAAAATTAGCGGCTTCTATAAAAAATATTAGATAATATTAAAAAAATTCAAATGTCACTAACTACCAGTTAATTTAGTAGAATGTGATACTAAATCTCCTAAACAAGATCAATAATTCAAATTATGACATTATGAATAGAATAAACTGGATTAAAAAAATCGTCTCCATTGAACTTTATAATACTAGAGATAGATTAATTTATCATTAAACAAAAAAATTCTCCTAACATCTATCTTATTTACCATCCGACTAACCCTATCATTAGAAAATTTCTATTATTTTGAAACAAACATAGGACATTCCAATAGCCTCATAGTCAATAGTCTAATTCAAGCCAATACGATAAACCATTACCAAAATTTCAATGTGGGGTTCAACTAAACCAAGTAAAGAATTAGTGGGATTTTAAAACACATTGCTTTCAATAAACATTCCACTCAAAGCTTAGGACCCAAGCTTGCTCCCCCCAAACAAGTTTGGCCTCCAAATATCACCGAAAGTTCAAAGAAACATCCATTTCTTGCTACAATTTGTTCTAAAATATTAGTATTTATTATTTAAATTTCGTTTTGATCAGATCCGAAAATTTCTCGATACTAAAACAGTAAAAGAACCATCTCCCCCAACTCATTCTAGTTGTCTCCCACGCTTCCAAAGGTGGTGTTCCAGAAAAATAAAAAGCAAAAAGGGCCCATTTCAAGATGAACCAACCCTTATTTTTCTTCCATTAAAACACTGTTAAATCATCTTCTTCTTTTCAAAACAAAACCCATCATCATTGCTGTTTCAAATTCTTAGAACAATCCAAATGCCTCCTTTGAACTTGGCAAAGAAGCTAAAACCAGCCAGAAAGGCCTGGAGGAGCTTCACCATCAAAGTGAAGTCGAAACTCGAAACCTTCGACGTCTTGAATTCTATCAAATCGACGACGACTCGTCTCCTCGAGTTCTGCTCGTTCCATCTCTTTGCTCCATTCAAGAAACGGTTCCTTTCAAGCCGACTTCGACGGTTCAACTACGACTACCTCTACACTTACCAAAACCAGCCCAGGAATCGGAAAGTTATATACATAGACCAGCTCTACGGTGAGCCTATGTCAATGCAATTGCAAGGAAAGCACAAGGAACCACCGCAGGAGGCGGAGACGAGCAGACGAAGCGGAGAAGTAGTGGAAGAGAGTAGAGGTGTGTATAGTATTGAAGATGCATGGAAAGCTGTGGTTGCGAAATCACCACATTTAAGGGGAGTGGATGAACGAGCCGATGAGTTCATATACAAGTTTCGAGAAGAGAGGAAGCTGGAGAAGGAACGAAGTGATCTCGATTTCCAGGAGATGTTGGCTCGAAGTGCATGATCTTCTTCTTCTTGTTGTTGTTGTTATTAATGTTTTATAATGCAAGACATGGCGAGGGTTTTGCAGGTTTTTTTGGTTAATGATCATCTGATTCTCTTATGATAGTAAAAATGGGGTTCTGATATTTGTATAGATTGGATTAAGATTGTGTTGTTTTGTTCCTTTTTGTGTTTCTTACATATACATGGGATGTCTGGTTTATACAATGAATGTTTGATTGTGTTGTTTGCTGATAGATTAATGGAAACTCATCCTTTATTTCTTACAATTCCAAGAGCAAGAAAGAGAATAAGACACACCATCAATAGGACATAGAACCTAATTTGGTTCAAATGATAAGCAACTTGATATTATTTAAGCAAAGTTTCGAGTCCGAATCCTTGTGTATGTAAAAAATTTCTGTTGGGAGACTTACCCACTAAAGGTAACCGAAGAAAATATACATAGACCCATAACTCCTTATATGGCCGTCAAGATATGTCTTCCATCTAGGTAAAGTATTTTACAATGAGTTTCAATTTGATTTTACATAATCAATTTTTTTTAATTTGGGTTCGAAAAGATTTTCTCTTTATTTTATCATCTTCTTCTATAGATTTTATAATTTCCTTCATATCTCATGTCGATGTCGTAATTATCATTCTTCAACGTCTTTCCGACCATTCAAGATATTGATGAACTCGTCTCGTTGTCTCCTACCACTCTATCAATTTAGTTTTTACTTAAACCATTTTAAAACTCGTGAAATTCAACCTCAAACACAAACCTTATAAAATCCTAAACTATTATGATCTATTATATCCACTATCCTATATATGAGAAATCAAAATATGCAATTCACTTTCTCCTTCTTCGCCTCCCTGTCATTAGGATTTGGAAGGAGATACTTCGTCATCGAGAAATAAAAATAATTTGAAATTAGAGATTTTTTTCACAAAAATAAAAAATAGACATTTTATAAATTTTAAAATAAAAAATGTCTAATAATAGAAGTAAATCGAAAGTATAGTGAGTAAATTAAATAGTTTTAAATTTTAATGATTAAAATAAGATTTAAAAGAAAGGTGGGTGGTGGAATTTATAATTCACCCCAACATCCCTTGTTTAGGGTTAGACTGTCTTGTTCTATCCTTTTGGGTTGTAGATTTGGACTCTTGTTTAGGCCATCGGTCTAATGTTTGGGCCTTATCTTTATATGGGGCTTTGCCTTATTTAAATCATAATTGTAAATTAGATCCACAGTAATATAGGAATTGATATTTAAGTAATAAACAATTCGATATTGCTTAATCAAGATTTCAAATTTGAATTTTTGTATATGTATAAAATTTTTTATTAGGAGACTCACCTACTAAAATTAGCTATACGATAGGGGTGCGCAAAAATACCCGACCCGATTGACCCGACCCGCCGGCCTGAACATTAAAAATTTGGGTAATTTTCTAAAAAAATTACCCGACCGGGTCGGGTACCAGGCCAGCCATTTCTCTGGTCGGGCCTAGGTCACAAAATTGTGTTTTTCCGGGTACCCGATTACCCGGGTACCCGGTTAGTTTTTATTATTTTTATAATATATATAATATAATATAATATAATGAATTATTTATATTATGAATTATTAGATTTTGTATTTCGAACTTTTAAATTTTATGTTCGGATGTTGGAGTATGTAATTCGAAGTTTCAAACATTTAAATTTGTGTATATTTTTTAAATTAATAATTTGAAAATGAAAAAAATATGTACTAGGTACCCGCAACATCCAGATCGGAACACAGGTCGAGAAATCACCGACCTAAATGTTTTGGGTACCCGGATTTGCACACCCCTAGTGTACGACATAGATTTATCCAGATAAATTAAGATGAAACCTTAAAAGAAAAAAAAAACCAGAGCCACAATTATATAAATTTTGTTTTTCTTTTCTCTTACTAGTCATAATTTAGCAGTACCTGGTCCTCAAGAATATAGGGATGTCTCAGGTATATCAACCTTAATATAAGATTAAGGAAATGTGATACCGGAAATATTATTATTTTTTAACATTTTCGGTAAAATGTTATCTAAAACGCTATTTTTTCTACCGAAAATATTGATATTGGGCGCTACCTAAACTATTTAATATTTCTGGTAAAGCACAACCTAAAAGATTATTTTTTTCTATCGAAAATGTTAATATTGGGTTCTACCAATAATTAGTTAGCGAAAATAATAGTTTCGATAATAAATAATATTTTAAATAGCGTTTTACTATAAATATTAAAAAATAATTAATTACCATATATTAAGACTAACTACAACAGAAGTACCAAAAATATAGTGACTACTTCTTGTATAAAAGTCAAATGTCAGATCATTGTATTTGGCCTAAGCTTTGATGCCTCCATGTTATGCCAACTATAATTAGGAGACCTTAAATTTGTCAGCAAGATCTCGAAAAAATCAAAATTTATTAGTTTTTATGATTAAAAAATATTATTATTTTTAAGATTTTAAATTTGAACAACTATGTTATAAGGTGATATACTACTTTGTATCATTTTAGATTATTAAAAAAATTATTTAAACTTTCTTAAATTAATATTCATTACAATTAATTTTTGGTTGATTGTTCTTTTAACAAATATATATAAAGTTAAACGTACATTTCAAAATACGTAAGTGTATATATATTTGTTTAAAAGATAATATTTAAACACTTGATAAAATTCATATCCAATGTAATATTTGAAAATTCATGATTAAATATATTGATTTTGAACTGTCAAAGAAATTTCATGAACTTGATATTTTAGTTCACGAGCATGAATATGAGTCAAATATATTGATTTTAGACTGTCAAAGATAAGTTCGAAAAGAATAAATATGTTCTGTTTATAACATGAGTCACACCTAGGGTTCTTTGGAAAAAGAGAAAAAAGTTATTTTTTTCTAAATTTATTTTTAAAGTTGTAATTAAAACATTAAATTAATTTATATGTATATAATTATCAAGAAACGAGAGTTAATGAATAATGCATGATAATTAAATTATTATTAATCAATAATGTAAGTAATTGAATCTTAATAATTGAAAGTTGAGTAGCCAAAATCAGAAGAGAATGAAACATAAGTAACCTCTGCTGTAGTTTACCCTAACCATAAAAGGAAATTTATTCCTATTGAATTTCAAAAGAGTTTCTTCCTCATGGCTACTGATTTTTACTTGTAAATTTGTTTCTCCATTAGAACTCTCTCTTCGTCCCCATTTTTTTTCATTTTCAAGCGGCCATGTCTTTCAGAGGAGTAAGTCCCCTTTTCTTATGAATCTTTTAGATCTGATATTGTTTGGGTTCTTTTAATTCTCTTTGTTTTAGCTTAAAAATTAGTTGATTTCTTATATTCATGCTGAAACTTAAACAAAGTCAAGGTTTTTATTATATGGGTATAATTTGTTTTTCAGATATTAGAATCAATGCGAATGTGGGACAAAGATTCGATTTTGTACTTAATTTTTTTTTGCATCTTCATCCCAATTGTAATGGTAGCAGGATTAGGGTTTTGAAGTATTTTTGACTGCTTTGTTTACTTATGAACTTGAAATTGTTGTATTTGCATTGCATTATCCTCATCTCTTATATGGCATTTATAGCACTTGTGAAAAGTGATGGAGTTAGATATTAAGGATTGTGTTGGAAAATGTCGTTTTGGGTCCTTGCACATTTTACATTCTTAAAATTTGTGAGACTTTTCCGCTCGAATCACTCGCTTTGGCATCTTGGACCTGTTCCTATAGCATTCATCGAACAGAGTTTGGTCTTGATTGCCGAAATTTAATGTTCTTTTTATATTAATAGCATTCATCGAACAGAGTTTGGTTTTGATTGCCGAAAATTAATGATCGTTTTATATTAAAAGTGGAGTAAGCATTGAACATTTAGCATTTGTTTTTGGTTTTTAGGCAAATGCATCATCTGGCATGGGAGTGGCTGAAAACAGCAAAAGCACATACCTGGAGCTGCAGAGGAAGAAGGTATTTCGATATGTGATCTTTAAGATTGATGAGAAGAAAAAGGAGGTTGTAGTTGAAAAGACTGGAGGTCCATCCGAGAGCTATGATGATTTCACTGCCTCATTGCCCGAGGCTGATTGCCGCTATGCAGTTTATGACTTTGATTTTGTGACTTCTGAGAACTGCCAGAAGAGCAAGATCTTTTTTATTGCCTGGTCAGTGTCCCTTTTTCTTTGAAGAAAAGTCCGATTCTGCGAAAAATCATGTGCTGCATTTGTATTATAACTCTGTCTGATTTGATTATAACCATGTTGTGTGTAACTACATGGTGCTTTATCATAGGTCTTGTTTTCTGGTGCATGACTAGCTTATCTAATAGAATATCGAGTCAAGTATATATGCTTCAATGTTCTCTTTAAGGTTCATTAAGTCAAGTTGTTTGAGCGTGGAAAGTAGTGGCCGGAAAATCATGAAATGAGCTTTCCTTTTGTGCCATGGACAGATATTTTTGTTGAATTGTAAGAGAAAGCCGAGAGAGAATGCCAACCGGTGCCTGTTTTCCTATTTGTTGTCTCTGGTTTTCTATATACAAGGCTGACCCAATGTTCTCTTGTAGGTCTCCTTCCGTTTCAAGGATCCGTTCCAAGATGCTCTACGCAACATCCAAGGACCGGTTCAGAAGAGAATTGCAGGGCATTCATTATGAAATCCAGGCAACCGACCCAACTGAGATGGATCTCGAGGTGATTAGGGAGCGTGCACGTTAGGTGCTGAATCCCGTCATTGATTTCGCATGCTTAAGGAGCTGCCTTGCTTAAATTAGTGAGTAACTAAGCGAAGCTATCTACCGTATGTTATTGTTGTTATAATAACACCTAAGAGGGCTGATTTCGAACCCCGGGGTTCGGAACTCTGGGCTCCTCATTGCCATTATGCTTCTCAGGTGAAAATGAGGTGTTGTAATGGATATTTTGACTCTTAATTAAGTTTTATTTCCATCACTTGTCATGATGTTCATCTATGCCTTTTGCCATTGAGGTTTTGTACTCTTATTTGAGCTGTTGAAATATAAATAGTAATTTTCCAGTCACTTTCACTGAATCAAGCATATCAACAATGCTTTACCAATTTGATATGTACTGGTTTTGTTTCATTTGAAGAGTTCTGGTGGTTGAAAAGAACCTCCACCAAAACAAATGAGAGGGTATTCGATATTTATGTTGTTTCGAATCTTCATTTTTATTTGTGTCCAACACGTACAAGTACTCGAATGTACGAGAATAAATTCGAGGGAAAATAACCGTATTTGTTATCTAACACACAAATCCGAGAAACAGAGCTGGCTACCGGCCTGTAAATGATGGATGATGCCATGAAAGTCCACAAAGATGGCTTAAAAGTCGCAGAGTTCTAGGTGGAAATTTAACCTCTTGCTAAGTCTTGAGGGATAAATTTGATCAAACCTTGACTTGTCAAAAGTACTAAATTAGGCCAAATTTTGTTATCAGTCTTTGTATTTAATCTAAATCATGTATTTAGTTCTTATATTTTAATTAGACCCCTCAGACTATTTTACCAATGTCTTTCACTGGTTGTAGATTCTAAATTGTTGTAATTTAGTCATATTATCCATGTATTTTTTGAGTCAAAAATGAAATTTCAAAACTCAAAGAGTGCAGGGACTGAAGTTGAGCAATTTAGAGTGTAAAGGCTAAATCTATAACTTATGCATAGTATAGGGTCTAATGAGGAAATTTAACCTAATGTTTATCACATGTAGACAATAAATTGCAACTGTAATTGTGAGGGAGACATGCATGAAAATAAGCAAACTTTGATTCAGGTCATGACAAAAGGGGTTAGGACTTACTTGGATTGAATTTAAGATTCTCAACTGTTCTAGTTTCTTGTATGATCATCAAAAATGGCAGCTAGTGAGAAATGTTTTGATTCAATCACTAAAAATATCAGTTACAAAGCTTGGGATTTAGGCAGCTAGCTAGTTTCTTCTTCCAACATGATCTCAATGCATTTATTCTTCAGTTAAACAGTAAAAAAAAGAAAAAGAAAAAGAAAATTATTACAAGAACAAAGTGTGAAATGAATGAGACAGAGACGGGAAAAAAAGAAAAACCTTATCTTGAGGGTAAGTTTACAGTGAATCCACAAAGCAGACAAGATATGCCTTCACCATTAAAAGTCCCCACGTGATCTTGACATATACAAAGCAGCTTCCTTGGCGTAAAGACATTGGTAATTCCCTTGAAAACATTTTGTCTGTTTCTGCTTTGTTTCAAGCTTTCTCCTTTCATGGGGGGTTAAAAATTGGGTCTTGTCAAGTTTTATTTCTTGGTTTGGTTGTCTTAAAAGATAAACAAACACAAAACCTTGTCTGTTTTAGTTGTCTTTGTCTGTGGATAACATTCTTTAATAAGAATTAGTAAGGGAATCACTTATTTTTCTCTTTTTGGGTTCTCAGATCTGTATATTTTACTCCTAGAAAATTTCATATTCCACTGTATATATATTGAATATTGGAAAGTTCCATGGTAGTGCTTTTAAGGATTTGCAGAGGTTGTTTGCTTTGAGGAGTTTTTACCTGTCTATTCTACTAGTTTCTTTAATGGATGTCTTCATCAAAGATCTTTGCTTTGGAGATATTTTGTAAGCTTCTGATGATTTTGAGTGGCAGAATTGGGGGATCACTGAGACAGGTAGGGCAAAGTTTAATTGAAGTTTGATTTGGTTGGATATCTTGGATACATAAACAACAGGAAATTTTGATTTCTTGGAAAATCTGGGTTTTGATTCAAGTTTTGAGTTGCTTTTGTAGCATTTAATGTTTATGAATTCGAACACATCGGTCATCGTCTCATCGGAAAGATCTTGTTAGTTTCAACATGAATAGTAGTAGTAGCAGCAGCAGCTGTAAGACAATAGTCTGGTTTAGGAGGGATCTTAGGATTGATGACAATCCTGCTTTGACCGCTGCCGCGAAGGACAACGGCGTTTTTCCGGTCTATATATGGTGCCCCAAAGAGGAAGAGCAGTTCTATCCCGGTCGAGTATCGCGATGGTGGCTGAAGCAATCTCTTGCTCATTTGGAGCAGTCTTTGAAGTCTCTTGGTTCTGAACTTGTGCTGATCAAGACACATAATACTCTTTCAGCTCTTTTGGACTGCATCAACGCTACCGGCGCGACTAAAGTCATATTTAACCATCTTTATGGTATGTTCTGATTCATCTGATGATGTAATTTTGATTACTAGCAGAAGCTTATGTGTTGCATGTGCTGTTCATTTGCAGATCCACTTTCGTTAGTTCGAGATTATAACATCAAAGAGAAGCTGGCAGAGGCCGGCATTTCTGTGCAAAGCTACAATGGAGATTTATTATACGAGCCATGGGAGATATATGATGAGAAGGGGCAAGCTTTTACGACCTTCGATGCATACTGGGACAAGTGTTTGAACGTGCAAATGGAACCTGTTTCACTTCTTCCCCCATGGAGATTGCTGCCAGTTGCAGGTAACTTTGAACAAAATAACATGTAATCTGGTTCGGTTCGTTCTTCATAGTACGAAATCGAAGCTAACTGGAAGATGAATTGTGTACTAAGCATGATACACTCGCATGAATATTGCAGAGAATGTGTAACCAGTTTGCTATTCTTTTTCCTTATTAGTGACAGGAACAATAGAAAGGTGCTCGATTGAAGATTTGGGCCTCGAAAACGAAACAGAAAAAGCTAGCAATGCATTGTTAGGAAGAGCATGGTCTCCAGGCTGGAGCAATGCCGATAAGGCTCGAATCGAGTTTATTGAACAAAACCTATTCAACTATTCGAGAAGCAGGCTTAAAGTCGGGGGCAACTCCACATCTCTTTTGTCTCCGTATCTTCATTTCGGGGAGCTGAGTGTGAGGAAAGTTTTCCAGAGTGCACGGATGAAACAGTTACTATGGAGAAGAGAACATAATGCTCAGGGGGAAGAGAGTGTAACACTTTTTCTAAAGGCCATCGGGCTTAGAGAGTACTCACGGTACCTTACCTTCAACTTTCCATTCACTCACGAGAGACCGCTATTGAGCAACTTGAAGTATTTTCCTTGGAATGCCGATGCGAACCATTTTAAAGCTTGGAGACAAGGTCGGACGGGATATCCGTTGGTGGATGCTGGAATGAGGGAGCTTTGGGCAACTGGTTGGATACACAATAGAATAAGAGTTATCGTTTCGAGTTTCGCGGTCAAGTTTCTACTCCTTCCATGGAGATGGGGAATGAAGTATTTCTGGGACACGCTTTTGGATGCAGATTTAGAATGTGATATTCTCGGTTGGCAGTACATTTCCGGCAGCTTACCCGATGGTCACGAGCTAGAACGATTAGACAGTCCACAGGTAAATCCGAGTTCCTTAAAAAAAAACTTCTATCATGTGTAATTAGGGTACTATCTTCATAGTAACAAGTATTTTTCCTATCTTTGAACCTCATTTTAAGTTGATTTTTCGAGTCAGATTCAAGGGGCCAAGTTTGATCCTGAAGGTGAATATGTAAGGCAATGGCTGCCGGAGCTAGCGAGGATGCCGACCGAGTGGATCCATCATCCTTGGGATGCACCTCTTACCGTGCTTAAAGTTGCCGGAGTTGAGTTGGGGTTAAACTATCCAAAACCTGTAATAGATATCGATACAGCTAGAGAACATCTGAGAGAAGCTATATTTAAAATGTGGGAAACGGAAGCAGCTGCAAAGGCTGCAACTTCGGACGGGATGAGCGAAGAAGTTTTTGACAATTCCAATGGCATTGAAACGTCTCCAATCCCCAAAGTTATTCTAAAGGAAAAGTCTTCTTGTCCGACATATTCATCTAATGATCAAAGGGTTCCATCGTTTCAGAATGGCAATAATGGTTCATTGCATAGGAAGAGAGCAAAACTTGTGGAAGAAGAAAGGTTGCCTGCTGATAAACCGAATAATCACAGTAAACAAGCAGGGACCTCTGGAGGAGGTGACTTATGCTCAACAGCCGAATCTTCAGCATCTAAGAGGCAAAGTATTAGCAGAATATCATTTTCTGTTCCCCAAGCTTGTTCTTCGTCCGATGGCAGGCCTTTGCAGGAGTATGAATCTTCTGATACGAAGCGATCGATGCAAGAAACAATCAACTTGGAACAGACTTCAAGCAAGAATGGTAAGTAAAGCTACATAGTTATCTGACTAATACATTGGATTATGCCAACCTGCAAAACTAAGCCCTCGAAGAACCCGGGGTGCCGCAAATTATGCTCATGATATATATATATATATATAAGTCGAATTAGTGTGTTTTTATGTACAAGAGCTACTGATTTGTATGAACTTCAGTCATATATACCATAAAACTTAAACATCAAATCATGCTTTATTGATTATACATTATCTAGGAAAAAAAACTTGTGATTTACCCAAAATTTGAACCACTAATACCCCCACCACCATTTCTACATTTTGCCAAACCAAAGAACAAAAATGATAAACAGTTTCAGGTCTAAAGATCCCTAACAACATCAAGGAAAACCCCGGTAAAACCGAGTATACTTTAACACACTCCTTCGGATTGTTGCGGGTGTTATTGTCATCGACCCATCACAGAAGTACCATTTCTTTCTGGTCTTATTTTCTCTTCTTTCTTGGCTTTTCTAGTTATCACCCTGGTTGTGTTGTTTTCACCTAATGTCTTGGATCCAAAAGAAGCAACAAATTCCGGTTCTAAAGAGTTAAAATCTTACATCAAACGGCACCCCTCTTCCTGCACAGGCTCCTGTTCCGGCTCCTGCAGACATGAAACAAGACAAACTAATATGCTTTGCTTCTAAGTATCATGTTGCCCTGACTTCGTTTTCGTTGAAGTACCTATTTTCGATATATATTCGTATATGGTAAGTATTTGAATATACCTTGATTATACTGGGAGTAATAGATGACTTAGTTGGAGTTAAGGTTCCAAATCCGGATGACTTTGGTTTCTTATCCGCCGCCTTTAATATCTGGAAAGAACATGTTAAATTCCCGTCCACGCTCATCATGGCAGCAGCATTGTCAAACTCCCCGCAGTAATTCGGCGCCGAAAATATGGTTACAAGTTGCCTATTAGCAAAGAATTCATATCCATCTTCAACGACCTACAAGCATGGATATCATATATTGAGACAGAGGAACCCAAAGACAGAGAAATCCAACAAATGTTTCATGTGAAAGGCATTTAAACCTGGTGTGCTCGACATATTATGTCGATATCAAGCCTCTTGAGACAATCAGTCACCCTATCAGCACCGAACATGTAGGAAACTCCCCGATCGTTAGGACCCCATCCCAGGATGTCTTTACTAGGATCAGACCATAGGAGATCACAAAGCAGGCCAGATTCTGGAACATCGGTAGGCCTCTTTATGTTTCTAATCTGATCCATACAGCGGAGATCCGGTGAAAGACCGCCATGCATGCAGAATATCCTTTCTTCAACCAGAGCTGCCACTGGCAGGCAGTTGAAACAATCTGTGAATACTTTCCAGAGCCGCACATTGAATCTTCGTTTACACTCATCATAAAATCCGTAGACACGGTTCACTGAAGCACATTCGTGGTTTCCCCTCAGAAGGAAAATATTCTTAGGATATTTAATCTTGTACGCGAGAAGAAGGCATATCGTTTCGAGGCTTTGTTTTCCACGATCAACGTAATCCCCCAAGAATAAGTAATTGGAACGAGGAGGGAAACCGCCATTCTCAAATAGCCTCAGGAGATCAGAATACTGGCCATGAATGTCTCCTGGGTCACAAAAAATGATGGATATGAATCAAAATCCCATGTTACTCAAACTCGAGTGTAAATATCGAATACCAGTTAGAAAAAAATTCAGAAGTGGCTAGTACAATACATATCACCAAAGTTATAAACATAAACTTCCACAAATGTTACACAAATTTATAGACATAATATGATCCATACTACTAAATTGCAGCCAAAACGTAGTGTAACCGCCATATTATAACGGTTCTCAAGGTCACCGTGGCACCGCAACCGAAATTTAGTACTGTGATATGATCTCATAAGGCAAAACCAGAAACAAATCAACATAAAGCACCGAGAGAATTACAAGACAACTCTAATCTCTTATCAAGGGATCAAAGTTCACACATGCAGAATATCTAATTTCAGTCAAAATGCCCAAAATCCCTATCCCATTTTAAGTAGTTTAAATTCAGCCATACCCAACATAGAAATAAAGCATTTTATGAACAAATCATAGCATCACACAACGAGTAACACAAAAACTGGTAGAAATCCATTTCAAAATAATCAAATTCATGCATAGTTATGAACAGAGAGATGAATTTAGATTGAAGGAAAGAAGATACCACAAATCTTAATAGGTGCTTCAAGCTCTAAAAGAATCGGCTGCCTGGAGAAGATATCTTTAGAAACAAGACAAAGCTGCCTTATTCCAGACTCAGAAAGCTGGACTAATTTCCCAGGTTTCCCTCTAACTTCAAGCAACCTATTGATTATGCCATCAAGAACTCGAGCTTCCATAGTTCAAGCAACCCCTTGTGGACCAAATAACAACAAGAAGAGAAAGCCAAGAAGATAAAGGCAGGCAAAAGAGAAAGAATCAAAGAATAAAGGAAAAAGAAAGGGTCTTTCCACCACTTTCACGCTTTCATCTTCTGGGGAAAGTGAAAGAGAATAATTTTTCTTCTTCTTAAATACGTGATTTTCTTCTTGGTGTTGTTTAAACATGCACGACTGGCGATCATGGTGCGCGGGGAATATTTTTTTTACTTATTTAAAAATATTTTTGGATAAATACACAAATGGTCTCTCGACTATAGGGTGATGCTCTGTCGAGTCTCTCGATTATTAAAAGTTACAAAATGATCTTTTAATTATAGGGTGTTCCTTTGTTGAGTCCCCTAACTATTAAAAGTTTCAAAATGGTTACTTGACTATTTAATATGTTCCAAAGTTGTCATTTTCCAGTTTGAGCTGAATGTTAACCTATTGACTGAGATATGATAGTTTTTTAGATTCTAGGATCAGATTTTATCATATCTCAGTCATCAAGTTAATATCCAACTCAGACTGTAGTCAAAATTTTAACGAAAAATAACAAGTTTGGAACATAGTAAATAGTCATATGACCATTTTGGAACTTTCAATAGTCGGAGGACTTAACAAAACAATACCCTATAGTCAAAGGACCATTTTGTAACTTTTAATAGTCGAGGGACTCAACAAAGTATCATCCTTTAGTCGGGGGACCATTTACGTACTTTACCCAATATTTTTGTTAATCTCAAAATCGTTCTAAATTTTAAAGATAAAATTTTTACTTAATCTTATTTTATTTGTTTTCATTTGATAAATTTTAAAAATAATTGAAAATAAATAAATAAAGTTATTATAATAATTATTTTAAATATATAGAGGTATATTAAGTGATCTAAAGTCGATTTAGTATGAGTTTGACTTTGTTAATATTATTCTTGCGATGTCCTTTGGAAACTAAAGGCAGCCACAAGAATATATCCTATGTTTTCTTTCTATACAAAATAATAAAGTATTAAAGAGAAAAAATAAGGTGGCTCAAATGGAAACAAATGAGACAAGTTCACATTTTATAATTTAGATTCGATTTTTTTAAGGTAATTTTAAGTGAATAATCTATTTCAATTTAAATGGAGAGTCGAGTTGATGATTAGTGATGTATTTATAAACGATCATTGTCGTATGATTTGAAAAATTTAAGATTAAAAAAGACAATGAAGAATAAAATCAAGTAGTTGTCTTCCTCTCTCAGTCTTGATTAAGGGGATTATAGTGATCCTTACAATTAGTGTTAGTCCTAAAGTCATGGTTGTTACTCATAAGCTAACAAATGAAATAGATATGGCTGCTTGACAGTAGATTTAGCTCTGACAGATCACGTAGGTCTATCAAAGGTAATGTCAAGAGAGGATAATCATAGGGATGATGTTAAATACCGGGAAATTTGCCTTGGATGATATGATCGACGAAGGTGATCCTCTGAAGACCACTTATTTCGGGGGCTTCGATCGTTGGGGGTTGTCTACGGAGGAGGTTGAAAGGCATAACATTTTCCACTCGGTCGAGTGAATACATAAAATGGCTTGACTTGATACTTGCATGTGACAACGCTTCTTGTATTTAATGAGTTGTTTTTTAGGAAACACTATAATGATTGTTTATGAAGGCTCGCACGCATATCCTTCTATGATTGACATAATCAAAAGGTATGGTATTTTAACCGTTTAAAAGATATTGCTTCTTTTTCATTTAAAGGGGGAATTAGGACGAAATCCCTAATTTCCTTTTCTTTGGTGTTTGATTGCAACCAGTCGTATTATCTTTGTGAAATTGTGTTTGTGTGTGTATTTTTTTTTATCTTTTGGTGTAACGACAAAGAAAAGCGTTGTAAAGGCAGTGATGAATTTGAAGGAGAGTGTGGAAGCGAATCAACGATCCTTGCAGGACGATGGTTCATTTGCGTGCAAGACTGGATGGAATGAGGCCAAAAATCTATTAATAGGTCGTGGTTTATTGTGGGAGAATTTTGATTTCGAGTTTAACATTCTCGTTGGACCATGTTGCCTGAGCGGTTACAATGAGATTTTTTTTTTTAGGTTGACCTCCCGATTTTTAAGGCCTCGCTCTGATAAGTTTTGACCAACTCGAGCCGCACACCTAGATTTGGTGGGTGAGTCTCCCAATAGGGATTTTTTAACATATATAAAGGCTCGAACTCCAGACCTACTTAAACGATATCAAACTGTTTATCACTTAAACTAACTCCGTTAATAATAAAAAATAACCTTTTATAAAAAAGATTGCTAAACTAATTACATGAAACTTTAGACAGCGATCAAGACTTAGATTTGAATCCCTTCAAACCTATTTTTTCTCTTTAATTTTTACCAAGAAAATAACCTTTAATAAAAAATATTGTTAAACTTTAACCAAGCGAGAGACATGCCTAGTGGCTAGTGCACTATCACCCCGCATTATTTCGGGTTTGATTTCCTCCTTTCACTTTGTTTACTTTTCTTATTTCATTTATTTTTCAACAATCAACTGGTGATGTGTGTGATCATATAATTATTTAATTAAATTTATTAAATAAATTAAATTAAAATTAAGAAAAAAATTCTTTCAATCTATCACCATCCAATTAATAGATTAATTAAAATTAGGATCAAATTAATAGAATATATAAATAATTAGAACCAAACATATAATTATAAAAATCTACTTAATTGGCAC